TTTCTTAGTCCATATTATCAAAGCTAGGCTTTACATAAATTTTTTGGCCTTTAGGACGGAGAATAATAATTTGTAATTAATAAGGTTATTTTAAAGATCCATTTATGTGTGTGAGACGGGCCATACATAAGTATTTAACCCGACGATTCGGTCTGTAATGACTAGCCAAATAAGAACCGGTCAATTCTACACTATTTTATATATTATTATATGCTCATTTTTATTTAAAAAAAAAGGGAATTCTAATTAATTTTTATTAATAAGGATAAATTTAAATTTATTTTTACATGAATATAAAATAAATTTTAATTGATTATTCATATATTATTATTACGTGTTAGAATTGTTATACGCGATTAAGAGATGTTCAATGTCAGCATTTGTTGGCAAAAGGCGATGATGGTAAGTAATAAACAGGTGGACAACAACTCTCATGTAATGGGAAAATTATTTTGTGCAGATACGAATGCCGTCTAAAGGTGAATCAGAACACGCCATGTCACCCAGTTGCTGTGTACCACGACTTTGTATCGTTGTGTACCGAGTGACGTGGCATGTTTTGATTCGCCTTCTGACGGTCCGGTGACCGAACAAAATAATTTCTCCATGTAATGAGGATCGAGCGATGATGGTTGGGTGATAGTGGATGAGTGATGATATTTGTTAGCAGTGATCATCGATATCGATCATTTGAAAGAGCTTTATATTTTTTTCAGATTTTCGAGCTCTCTCCAATTTCAAATCCCTTTCATCTAAATAACATTGGTCTATTTTTAAATTTTTAAGTGACATTTTTATTTATTTTAGAAAAAAACTTCCTAAAGACTTCATCAGACAGCCTATGTTAATTCTCTTTATCATAGGCCGTCAATTAGTTATTTAAGAATATTTGAATTGAATGATCTTGTGCTCATTGATTTTTTTCATTCTACACATTGGTTTTGCTATAAGCATATAATATTAGGATATTTGGTCATTCAAATATTATCAGGAAGTTTATAACTATGCACTAGAGCTTAATTTAGATTAGGGCTGCAAATGAACCGAGCCGAGTCGAGTATGTGAGTGTTCATGTTTGTGTTCATTTAATATCAACTTGTTCAAGTTTGGTTCATGTTTGTTCGAGCTTTATTATTTGTGTTCATGTTTGGTTCATTTAAATTAATGAGTGTTCATGTTCGGTTTATGTTCAGTTCATGTTCGATTCGTTTTGTGCTTATTGAGCTTTAAACAAACAAGCATGAACGATCTATAAACGAGTTCTACTTTTAGATGTTCATTAACTTAACAAACGAGCTTCCTAATAAACGATTACATCAAGCATGTTCGCGAACATATTTAACGAATTTGTTTAAACAATCAAACAAACATGTTCATGAACATATCTATGAACAAACACATTTATAATAAAAGCAATTGTCTATGTAAAATGAAAATAACATTAATCAATATGAATATATTTTTAAATGAAGCTTACATGTTGCATATTCTATATTCAAATATTAATTATTTTTATCGAGCTTATTCACAAATCACGAGTTCAAAATCGAACACGTATTGGGCTTTTATCGAGCTTAATGTTGAGCTAGCTCACGGGGTTTAAACAATGTTGTTCGCGAACATAAATGAACCGAACGCATTAATGTTCAAGTTTGTTTATTTAAGAATCAAGTATTTAAAATATTGTTCAAGTTTGTTTATTTAGTTAATTAAACGATCACAAACGAGCTTTAATCGAACCGAACAACGAGTAGCTCGTCGAGCGCTTGGTTCGCTTGCAGCCCTAATTTAGATTAATTTAATTGGACTCTGATCAAGATGTTTTTGGTGTCACTAGATTAATGTCATCGAGAAATTTATTTCAATTATAAGATTTCGTCTGGGACGATTTTTTTTTTTTAAATAGAGTTTTAATACAAAAATTTTAATTTTTTAACTTTTTTTTTTACTAAAACTTTAATAAAATAGTAGTCCCAAACAAAGCTGAAGTTGGAATTCAGAACACCGTTAATTTAATTCCAAAAAATTTTTATTCAAATATTACACCAATATTTATGTTTGACCAAATGCCTTTTTAATAAATTCCTATGTTGCATGATTTTTGTCCTATGATGCATGATTTTTATTCATCAAATCCCTATGTTGCATCATTTTTATTCAATTTTTTTTAGCTTAATATTTTCATTTAATCATAATAATATGGATTTATATCAAAGTGCCCTCGCATATTTGTTTCCCCCCTTCAATCTGCATTGCATAATGAGAAATCATTAATCCCTCTCCATAGGCATGCAGATATCAATTAGTTTTATTTAAATTAAAAAAAAAAAACTCATTTCTCATATTCATCTTAATAATTAGCTCAAGTTCAAATAATTTTTACAACAATTAGAAAATAACCTCCAACCAAGGTGGATATTGGAACACTTTCCATATGTAATATCTAATATCTGTGATAGTGTACCATTGAGAGAAGTGGTCGGTGGATTGAGGGGAGAAACGGGGTCAAGTCAAATCGCGAGTCAGCTCGATCTCAATTTTTTAATGAGCTTGTGAGCTAAGCTTATCGAGCTCCGATCTCGAGCTCGAACAGAATTTTGAGCTCGTTGTCTTATCGAGCTCAAGTTTGATCCTAAGTATGCTCGGCTACTCGTTGAGCGGCTCGATTAGTGCGGGTGAACCACGGGCACAACGCGGAAGGAGCAGGGTCGCGGGCGCATGCGATCGCGGAAGCGTGTGAACTGCGGGAGCGTGCGATCGGGGAAGACGGATCGGCGGAGTGCGACCGCTGAAGACGGACTACGTTAACGAGCTTGCGAGCTGTTCGTCGAGCTCTGGTCACTGTCACGAGTAGAACTTGAGCTCGACTCGAGTTCAAGCTGAAATTTTGACTCACAAGTCGAGCTCGAGTAGACTTGTTTGCATCCCTGATCGATTCCCCTGTCATCTGAAGTCTCTCGTCTCAAGTCAAAAAGTTGTAGTGCTACAACTCCGACAAAAAATCATCACCTTTGTGCTACAGCTAAGGCGTTGAGATTACCTAATATGACCGATTGTAACTTGCTTTCTGTGACACCTGCTAAACAGATGATGCAAGCATGAAAAAATAGTCTATCTGGGCCCTTTAAAACTCAATGATAGGTGTGAATTTAACCTACACTAGCCTTGTCACAACCATGCCTTGTCACAACCATGACATGGCTTTGGTTAAATTAAACTAAAATTTACATAAGACCTAATTTCATTGCCAATTGAAGCTGTTGTATTTGCCAATTAATATTTGCATTGTTAATTTTAATACTAACAATTAGGGCCATACATATTGGTTTTTGGGGAGTTTGATTATATCGATCAATCGAGTTGTATTGTTGACTTAGATCTCAATTTCTTCAATCAAGCTCGGCGGTGTTGTAAATCCAGTGCAACGACATGATGCCATTGACCTATTTTGAGACAGGAGTTGATGCCGATGTGATGCGGGTATAGCGCTGTGAGTTGGTTGAATTTGTGTTCTTTTCTTATTTTAATAGTTATAATCAATTATAGGGTGAAACTCTCGCTTGGATCTACGTCTGAAGATGATGAACATGTGTGAAGTGAAGAAGAGAATGAGTGTGGAAGCTCCGCATAGTTTCTCCTATTTTCATAATAATTTCTTAATATAACGTGGCACCGTGTTTTTTCCTATTTTCAATTTTTTTCATGTTAAATCTTGGAAATCTTTCTTGGTTGTTGTTTTCTTTCTTATTTGTTTCGTTCTTTGTTTACTCCCAACAATAATGTAGCAAAAGTGTAAGCAAACAAATGCTATTATATTAGAAATTTGACTCTTATATCACTTTCAATGAGTTTTTTTTTAAAGCTTCACTCACATGAAACTTTACTAAAATTTATGAATCATTTAGGTTTTGTTTGAGATAGTTTTCTTACTACTTCTTAAAATAGTTTTCTAATACAAAAATTTTAGTTTTTATACTAGAAAGCTGTTTTAAAGAACAATAAGAAAACTGTCCCGAATGAAACCTTAGGCTTCATTTGGGAAGACTTTTTAATGCTTCTTAAAGCAATTTTTTAGTAAAATTTTTTTAATTTTTTATTAAAAATTATTTTAATAAAGCTGTCTCAAACAAAGCCTTAATCATAATGAATCTTCAATTCTTATTCCACTTATAAGATGAGTGAAATAAAACTAAGATCTCAATAAAGTTCAATATAATAGTAAATGGATTTCAATCAAGTTCAATATAAGAGTTATTTATGAGAATTTGTGGTTGCAAAAAAGTCCTTCAAAAATATACAATTAGCAGCCAAAATAATTTGCAAATATTGAAAATTAGTTAAGCTTCCATATTTTATATCGACAGGGAAATGAAAATCCTTTTTTTTAATGAGATTTTGTTATTGATGGAGAATATATATATATATATATTATTTTTTTTAATTTTTTTTTTAAATAAGAATATGATTCTTAACAAATCATAATAGAGAACAAAGATTCATGTAGCCAACTTCTTTATAATAAGAAATTATTTTGTACGGAGACCGGACGTAGAACGGTGTCCAGAGACCAACCAGAATGTGTCACATCAACAGTATCGAGCCGCAGTACCAAACAAGGGGTGACGTGGCGCATTTTGGTTGGTCTCGAGACTGTTAATCCTCAATAGAGTGATAAAGAGTTGTTGTTGTTGTTGTTAATTTGTTATAATAATTATATGTTTTTCTTATATTTTATTTGCAGATCTAATATTTATTTTTTTATGATAAAATTATACTCAACAGACGAATTATATAACTCGTGATTTTTGGTTGACCTGACAAGTAAAATATTACTCTATATTTTCATATTAAATTTATAAAATAAATTATCAAAAATTATTTAATAAAAAATTGAAAAAAAAGCCCCCAAAAATCTCGCCGGTTCACCCCGCGCATTTTGTATTACTTGACGTCAAAATCAAAACAGCCGGCCCGGCGGCCCTCCACTTTCCCCCTTCGCCTGATCTGTTTCCCCTTCTTTATAACCGGTTCTTCACTGGTAAAACGAACATCCAGCACTCAAAACCGCTCGTTCTTTCTCCCACCCTTTTCCTTTTTTTCCTTTCTCCATTGATCTAGTCAATTTGCAATGAAAAGAAGCAGGAAAAGCACATCTCAACAATCTCCGGCGAGCAGCCCACAGTCGGACGCCGACATGTCCGGCTCTTCCAAAGAACAGGACCGCTTCCTCCCCATCGCCAACGTTAGCCGCATAATGAAGCGCTCTCTTCCAGCGAACGCCAAGATATCAAAAGAAGCCAAAGAGACAGTGCAGGAGTGTGTATCCGAGTTTATCAGCTTCGTAACCGGCGAGGCTTCTGATAAGTGCCAGCGGGAAAAACGAAAGACAATCAATGGGGATGATCTTCTTTGGGCCATGAGTACCCTTGGATTTGATTCCTATGTAGTTCCGCTAAGGACTTATCTTAACAGGTATAGGGAAAGCGAAGGGGACAAGAATTGTATGGCAAGGCAGCAGGAGCCCGAAAACGTCTCCGGAGATCGTGACCAGTCCCTCAGCTTTGAAGACGGAAGCGGCGTCACTAACGAAGTTTTGGCAGCGACGGCAGCGGCCGCCGCCAGATTTGATGGTGGGTTTTATAATCCGGCGCCGGGATTTGGAGGAGGGCGTGGATTTCTTAGGAAGAACGGTAGTGGAGCTCATGACGGAGGCCAAGGTGGTGGAAGGCCTGCTTTTCCCGGCCAGTTTCATGGCTCTCGCTGGAACCCGTTTTAGGAGAATCGGCCGCCTGCTCAAATTCCTTACAATTTTTAACAGTATTTTTAAATTATATATCATATGCGTTTATGAGATAGTATTAATTTTCAAATTCTATTTGTTGTTTTTAGTTTCTAGATTGTTCGTGTAATGAAGTTGTTCATGACATTTGCATTCTCTCCAATTATCAAAGTTGGTGTATGGTATAATTATTCAGTTTCTGTCTTTAAATTTCTTTTGAATGTTCGTTTATTTTTCTCATAATTATGATGATTTAAAAAAATTAATAGAATTATAAAATTTCATCAAGATATATTAATTTTCACTTAGGAAAATTATTATGAAATTGTGAAAAATATCAATATTCAGACATTCAAATTTGATCAAGAGAATTTTTAAAAATATTAAAGTCTATTTAGTCTTCTTTTGGGACGGTTTTTTGTCGCTTCTTAAAAAACTGCTCCAAGAAGCCTTAAAAGTTATCTTAGACGAAGCCTTAGTCAATTAGAATTTTCTCATTTGAAATTGGTAGTTGTTGTACCCTTTTGTATTGGAATCATGAATGCAAATATGTATGTATTGATGTTTATTGTGGTGATGATTTCAATGTGAAGATTCTATACCGGTCCTTTTGCTTTATTTGGAATTTTAAAAGTTTATGCTTTCTCTTTGCTTCTGAGGTTGACGGAGTGCAGGCGAGAGAATCCTGAAGAAAGTATAGTTTCTTTATGTTATTCTTTGTTGCAGCTTCCAATTAGTTTCTTGTAAGATAGTTTTCACTACGAAAGATTCAAACAACCGTCGAGCAAAGTATATCAAAAACTCTAACCGTTAGTTCTCTTTCAATAAGTTCAGGCTAATTGCAGGAAACTAATGCACAGAGATCTCTGTATTTTTGACTCAACTATTTCTTTTAAATCTATTAGTTATTGAATATAATTAAAAATTAATATTTATAATTGTTCGGGCCCTCAATATTCACTTCAATAGAAAAATAGAAAATTTAACATTCTAATTTTATATAAAGATCCAACATGCAATAATCTCATATGCTTATTTTATTTTCACACACGTAATAATTTAAAATAAAATTACATTTTAGTTTTTTTTTTTTATTACAAGCAAACAAATGAGTCTTTAAAGCACTTAAAATTGAATATATACATATAATATATATATATATAATGCTCATTGTTTATTTTAATGAATTTTCCCGCATCTCTCACTAGCCACTTCTCTCACATTATCACATAATTTATTGGGACGGCAGTCCACGGCGCTTAAAACGCCACTATCAACAGTTAGACGGCAGTTATAATTGTCGATAAACGGCCGAGTAAATAAATTGTTTTAATTTTTTTTTCAATTTTCTAGCGTTATTATTATTATTATTATTATTTTTATGATTGGTTTTAGAATGATGGAGATTTGAGGACTGTCGGATGATGGTACATGGGGTGACTATTGTCAAACGATGATGATCCGAGGACCATCATTTGGCAACGAACGTATAATGACTAGTTGATTGACGGTAGTCCATGAACCATTGTCGAGTTGCGGTGGTTAGAAGGACCGTTATTGGGTGATGGTGGTTTGAGAACCATAATCGGCCACGATGGTCATAAGATTATATGTATTCAACAGGTGATGATGGTTTGGTTTGTAAAGGAGCGATGATGATTGGAGGACCATAGTTGAGACAGGGTTGTCGGAGGATCGTAGTTGACAACACTAGTGGGAGGATCAAAGTTTGGGCAATGGAGGTTAAAGAAGTGTAGTCAACAGGCAACGAAGGTAAGAACATTCGTAGTTGAGATGGTGGTCAGATGACTATAGTTGGGTTATGGTGGTTGCATGATTGTAATTAGATGACGGTGGTATGAGGACCATCGACATGCAATGAAGGTCGAAGAATTTTATTTGATAGGCGACGGAGGTTGGAAGACAATAGTTGATGGGCAGTGGTTGTTCAAAAACCGTAGTAGTCAATCAACAAAGGCTCGACGGGTGGCTCAATGATGGTGTTCTGACAGTGCACCAAATCCTTAGATCTCGGAGTTCTCTTGATTCTGATAAGAGAGTTATGGGTATAGCTCATAACTCCCTTCATGTAGAGAGTGAGGGTCTATTTATAAATTTTTGAGAGTGATATACCCGTAAAGATGGAGAAAATCCAGAATGTTTCGTTAAATGATATGTATTGATTCCCTTGATCATAAAATGTTTATTCATCATTTAAGTTCCTTTACGATGTTAGATTTAATTTATCTTGAGCTCTTTGTATTTGTCTCGTCAATTCATTTGATTCGATCATAAGTATGCCAAATTTGAAGATTATTTGGTCATTCAATTGCTATATAAAGTTTTCAATTATGCTATAGGCCCTTGATTTAGGCTCATTCATGCTCAAATTAGATCATTTTCTATATAGTTAGGTTTGTATCGTCGAGGTGTTCAATTCAATAATAAGTTTGCCTAAATCGGAGTTTAGATAGTCATGACTTTGATTTGAAAGTTTTCAACTCAAATATGTTTGACGATTCATGTCCGATTAAAGCTTTTTTATGATGTGTCTATATATATATATGATCAAATCATATAATAAAATAATATTTTATTTTAAATAGATTAGTATAATAAATTTTAATATATTTTAAATATTAAAATATTAGATAAATAAATATAAAAAATTAATAGTTTGTATCTAAATCTCATTGATTTTTTATATTTATTAGCTAATTTTCAGCTAAATGAATGGTAGTCAAAAGGGTTTGTAAGGAATTAAGTTCCGATCTTCATAAATCTTTTTTGAGTTTTGACGCAGCATGATTCTCTTTCTCCGTTTCCTCCTTCCCTCATTCAAATTGTAAAGAAGAGTTTACATATTAAATAAAAATTCTTCTCGGCTATTCTCGTGCCACTTGTAATTCAACGCTTCCTTACATTTTGTACTATTGTCATCTGTCTCATAGCTTATGGTAAATAGAAGGGGACTTGCAAGCCTAAAATAAAAGGAGGTTTGGGGCTGCCAACATTTGATGCTCTCATATTTGCTTTTGACTGTTCACTGATTATCATATATTATAATTCTGTCTCCTTGCTTTCGTCTTGGCTGTGTAATAGACATAGCTCTCCGTGGAAGCCTATTTCTAGAGATGCCTCACATATGTGGAAGAATATATATAAAACGGGCCTCAAAGCTAAACATAATTTCAGTTTCAATATTGGTGTTAATAGCCCCATCTCTCTCTATTGGGATCACTGGTGTAATGGGCAAGCACTCTATGAACTGCCAATTTCTAATTCTATCATGGATCTTTTTCCTACAGATGCAACGATTGATATGGTTATTAATCCTAATGGCTGGTCTTTGCCTCATTCACTAAATGAAACTCTTTCATGCACCATTTGGGCCATTCCTCTCTCTTTAGAGAGAACTTCTTGATGCCTGCTTTGGCTGTCCGATAATGGGTCATCTTCTTCTTTTCATGCTTTTATTTCTGAATTCTTTGAGGAATGTGATGCTATTTTGTATGCTGCGGTGTGGCACAAGCATTATGCCCTTAGATATTTTATCTTTGGTTGGATTACCATGGTGGGTGGACTTAAAACAGCTGATACTTTGATTAGGAGAAATATTTTGGTGGATCCGCTGTGTGTTTTATGCAAGCAAAAACATGAAACGGTGGCTCATCTTTTCTTTGAATGTGATTTTTCATTTGCTGTGATTTCTGGCATTTTTCACAGCTTCAGGTGTTTTCTTATTCGCCCAAATCTGTATCAAATTGCTGATTTTCTACTTGAAGGCCATTTGGGTGACCGTGTTAATCTCTCCCTCTTAATATTGTGGTGTTTTGTCCATTATATATGGCGAGAGCGGAATAAAAGGAGGTTTGCTTCTATTGATAAGAGCGCTTTTATTATAAGAGAACTTATTAGAAAAGCTGTTTTGATGAAGATAGCTAGGTGGAAGAATGGAGAAAAATTTTAAAGTATTCTGCTTTCTGGACTCTAGTTGCAGCCAGTTTACTCGGCTGCTTGTTCTTCGTGGCTTACCAGTGTTTATTCAGCTCCTGGCTCGATATATTATGGCTGAAATTCTGCTTCTATCGTGGCTCTAGGCGGAGAGCTGGTGTTCTCCCAGTTGGTTTTTCGACTTTTTTACTACTCTTGATCTAGTTTTTTGGCTTTGAGTTCGGTATTTTTGGGCGAGGATGAGTGGATTGCTCCCCTCTCCCCTAGATGGCGACTCTAAGCAACTCGGCTCTCCTTGGATGGCTTTTTTCGCAACCGGGGATTTCTCCTGCGCTAGGTGGTTGCAATCCACATACTGAGCCTTCGTTTTTGGGTGCTAACACCATTTGTTCACTGATTTTGTATTTTTACTCTCTGTTTGTATTTTATACGCCTTTTTGTTCTCTCTTTCATGTAATTTTTCCTTTACCTGTAATTATTTTGATTAATGGAATTGGGCTATGCCCTTAATTTTCCCAAAAAAACAAAAAAAATAGTTTTGACTCATTTATGGGGATGAAAAATATAATATGTTTGTATGAATATTGAGATTAAATTTTTGAATATTTAAAAAATATATTTTGACTCATTTCTTTGATTAATTGTTTTTATCATTTTATGATAAGTTAATTCTAATAACTTTCTTAAGTTTAATAATATATATATATATATTATTCTTTTTTGATGTTAGATAGAATTCGGTTTGATATTCAATATGATTGTTATTGTATTTTAAAGTAAAAAATAGATTTTTGAGTGAAAAATGTCCTTATTTTGGATATTATTACCACTATTTTTTTGTCTTTCAAAAAAAATTTATGCTAAAAAAATTGTATAGAAATTATTAAGAAACTGTCCCTAATGAGAGAAATTATTGTCTGAGGAATCCAAATGCATTCGGATTCCAATCACCGCTTGCTACGTCAGCGGATGCACTCTGGGCCAGTGCATCCAGTGACATGGCGCATAGTGATTGAAATCCGAATACATTCGAATTCCGTACACAATAATTTCTCCCTAATGAAGCCTTAGATACCCCTCATCTTCGCACTATTTTAAAGTTGATAACTGTTTTATTTGAATAAGCTTAAGGCTTAATTCATTTCGAAGAAGCATCAAGCATTGCAGTTGGAGAATCATAAATACCTTTCTGAAACTAGAAAACCTTTGATGTCAGCACTGTAACGATGAATTCATGGGCGAGATTCAATGATGGCTGGAGAAAACACAAGAACTGCCCCTCGCTGCAGCCCTCCCAAGAGTTGGGAAGATTTGTGCGCTTCAAGGCTCAACAGACATGATCGAGAACGCTAGGTGTATTCAAGGTAACAAAATCGAAAGACAAATCTTTATATATAGAAAGAAGAGTACATCTAAATACGCAGAAACTAATCCTGTTTGGTTCCCAGCCCAAATCACAGTACAAATTAAATCAGAAAACAGCAGTAGAAATCTTCGTCGATCGGAATTTACATTAATTTCTCCTTCTTCCTTATCCAGCCGAAGAAGCGCGTCCTTTTTGATTGCTTGTTTTCTTTCGATGCTTTAGTTTCTTCTACCATCTCCTCTGCTTCCATGGCCTTCACTTTATCATTGTAGAGCTTCTTCATGATTGGTTTTAGGATGAGCTCTACCATTACCTGTGAAGTAAAGAAATCACTTCAGCCAAATTTTGTTTTCTATTTTTTTCTTTCTGGATCTGTGTTAGCTGTTCAAGCTAATGGAGAGGGCTATATGTATAGAGAGTAGATGGTCAAAGAAGGCGCTGCAGCTTCTTCGTGGATTTTTCCTTCTTGACCTCGTCTGTTGGTCAATCACTTAGTGCGCTCTTTCCTATATTTCTCACATTGAATACTGTATATATAATTTTGTTAAGATGATATTTTTATTAAGATATTTCTGCAAATTTTGTGTTTGAATTTTGAAACAGTCAAAAAGTTTTTTTAGTGGGATAAAGTTGATTATTTTAAAAATATAATCAATATTTTTCAATAAATATTTATAAGCATTGATTTAAACTAAATAAACGAACATAACTACATAACTTTATTATGCATAGATATAAAACAAATCATCAAATAAGTATTTTATTGAGCTCAAATAATTATTTATTTAAGAACAAACAAATGTATTAGGAATATAATTAAACAGATGAGTCAATATTTAAGATTGTTCATTTGTATGTCGAGTTTTATATTCTTTTTATGATTATTCAATAACTTAAATAAATGAATATAAACATATAATCTAGAGAGTACTAATTTGATTTTATTACACTATTTTTGCACTTTGAATAAATCCTTGCAATCTCGACCAAACTTTCACTAGTTGCATCTTTCATGTTAGTATAGAGCTTCCTTTATTGGCCCTAACTCAGATATCTCTAGTGGGGAAGAATAAGCAACACAATAATCACTCTTTCTTGGGTGTCAGGGTTGGTACTCTCACATCTTACAATGTGCTCTACCTTGATCTAATTTTCTCCTTCAACAAATACCTCTGTTATTTTGGATTAATCAAGCATTCTGTTTTTTTTTTCTCTAACATTATAATAGCATTATGTTGCTCGAGTTGTTGTTGTTGTTTAGATTCCTGCCTTACCACTTGCTATATTGATGCAATTGAAGGTATATATAGTGTTTATGGTAACACTATGATAACTCAACTACTAAGTTTTCCTCCCACTCTTTTTATGCAAGTCAAGGTGTTCAGAGGTTTTAGCTTGGTCTGGAATATTTCTTTAACTTGGTTGATCTAGGACCATAGCATTAATAATGCTAAGTGGTCCTCTAAACATCTCGTTCGCAATTGTCGGTCGATTTGCATTTTGCTCATTAAAAGTTTAAAAAATTTCCTTCATCTTATTTCTAAGGTGAACCCATTCTCTTCATTCCATGGGCTACCTTAAATCAGCTTGTTAAAACACTAAAATTTTCTTTCATTAAAAAGTTTATGTATTATCACACAAATATTAAGCTATAAAACTTACATAGTCTTAATTTGATTGTTAGTATTTTTTCTCATTACTTAACTCGATACATATTCTTATCAAACCCTTGCTAGCTTGTAGAAGATTATATTGCATTATTCTTAGGGGTGTTAATTTCGGGTCACGGATCGGATTCGGGTCGAACCCGGAACTGACCCGAGTTCAATCGGGTCGACCCTAACCCGACCCGAGTAGGTAAACGGGTCGAATATTCGAACCCGGACTCGACCCGGCGGGTTGCCGGGTTGACCCGACCCGACGCAGGACGTAGCGGGTGTACGGTTGGCTGGGTGCGCCGGACGCGGGCGGGTCCGTCGTGCACAGACAGGACGCCGTGGGTGTGCAGGCGGCGGAAACATCATCTCAGAAACATACCAAAAGTTACGCGGTAAAAGTTTCGTCAATACAAAGATATGCACGTTTTTCGGTAACGGAAACACAAAACTGAGCAAAGAAATACCAAAACTCGAAATCTTTGAAATCAGAAATAGGATTCAGAGTCCTTACTGCGAGGCGAACAAATCTTCCAACAACGGCGACGGACGAAAAGCGCACTGCGAGCTCCAAAACCAAGCCTTTTCCTCTCTTTTTTCCTTCTCTTTCTCTCTCCAGCTTTTTCATTCTCTTCAAAATGATCCAAAATATCTCAATTCCAATACTTATCAAACAGGATCGTCCCGGACGATTCCTATTCGTCCTGGGACGATTTGCCCTCTGAACAAATCTCGTCCAGACGAAGTGTATTCGTTCTTGGACGATTTGCTCTCTGGACAAATTTCGTCCCGACGGTTCGTCCAGGTTCGTACAGGTTCGTCCAGACGAATCATACAGATTCTTTACAATTTTCTTCAGTTCGTCCCGTACTAAAGTCAGTTCATACGGACTAACTGCATTAAAAAAAATGCACTTCGGAGAAGTTTTACATAGACGATCCAAAATGGGTGCCAAATAGGCTGGGCCAGTCATTATCTATGCTAATGACTAGCATCACTCATAATTTTTTTTTTTATTTTGGTTTTGTTTTTGCCTAATTAATTATTAAATAGTTTTTTTTTTAATTGTCTTCACGATAATTTTTAAAAGCTTTTTTTCTTCTTAATAATTTCATTACTTTTATAGAACTCCAGCCTTGAGCCAAATTCCGGCGAGCCTGGTCTTGCGTTGATTTTCAGACCCCTGAGAAGTGAACAAAGCCGCACCTTTCGTTTATCCAAGCAATCTCTAGCGATGTCTCTTCTTCGTCCTCATTCAGCTATTAATTTTCTCTACTCTACTTCGTCTTCTTGCACATCTTCTCTCTCCCCTCGCCTTCTTTTCCATAGAAGTAAGAATGGAGCAATCATTGATTGCCAAATCATCAGGGGAAGGACCTTAATGTCGTCTTCTGGAAAGAAGGGGCTTGTACCCTTTCTTCCTTTTTCCTCTCTTGACCTTGATGCCTCAACCTCCAACGATCCCCATTTCATGTCCTCCTCGGTTGGATCTCCCCCACAATCTCTTTCCTTCTCCCAGTGGAATCTTGGTCCCAGACATATCCTTCTTCTCAATATTATAGCCTGCACGGTAAGCCTGCTTTAATGCCTCGTATAGGGTTTCAAATTTTTATGAATTTTAGTCGATTTTCAGAAATCAAACTGCATGATCATGGCTTCCCATTTTTGTTTGTTTTTATTTGTTTTTGATGATGTCCCTTTGGTTTAACGAGCAACTGGCATGCTTGCTACATATAAATATTATTTGCTTAGGTATTTTCCCATGTTTATGTGTCGTTGAGCAGTTTTGACTATGTTCACAGGTTGCTATTTCCGCCTCCTGGTTGTTCTTCGCAGCGATTCCAACCCTTCTGGTAGCTTTTAGTTATACTTCTGAAATTTGTTTTCAGGAGACAATTAACTTTGATTTTTCTTGTTTTTATCTATTTATGCTGTTGAAAAGTGTAGGCTTTTAAGAGAGCTGCGGAGTCACTGGAGAAGTTGTTAGATGTCACAGCAGAGGAGCTACCGGACACTATGGCAACTATGAGACTATGTGGAATGGAGATAAGTGACTTGACCATGGAGCTAAGTGATCTAGGGTTAGTCAATTGAGCTTCCTTTTTCTCTTTCTCTAAGGTATTAATTGAACTGCCCAAGGCCAAGTGTGAACACTTATTCAGCCCAAATTCTTTAGACAGATCTGATTTTATAAACAATGGCCTCCTTAATACCACTTATCAATGTGAAATAGAATAATCTACATTTGACCAAAACTTTTAATCACATTTAAGGCTTATGCATTTGATAGTTTATTGGTTCAACTGATATAAGATGTCATTCAGACTTATTTTTGTTGACCTACTCAGCTCAAGTATTAATAAAACAAAGCTATTATTTTGGGATTACTTTTAAATTTTCTAACAGTAATGATGGTTTTAGGAGTTAAAATTACAAATTATGCAAGACATAGGTAATATGTATTGGTATTAAAAGAAAATTTAGGGAAATTTGCATATATATACCACTTTATTTCACGCTATTTACATATCTAACAATCAAAACATTAATATTACAAGCCTACCACCCATATACAACTTTAATATCAAATATATCACTTCTATAATTCATTTCTATCATTCATATCATCTTATAAACTTTAATATTTCATTCCATGCACTCAAATTTGTTCTATGAGTGGTAGGCATGTAATATTAATATTTTGAGTATTATATATGTAGATAGCATGAAATAAAGTGGTATGTATGTAAATCCCATGTAAATTTAAATGATCGTGATGTGGATATAATTGCATGGCTTGATGGAAGGCTCTTTTATGCCCAAAAAACATAGAAACTTAGATGAATTGTTGCTTACCCTTTTTTTTGTTAATCTCGTAGGCAGGGGATAAAGCAAGGTGTGAGGAACTCTACTCGAACTATTCGTGTGGCCGAGGAAAGGCTTCGTCACCTCACTACCATGGATCCAATAGGTTAGTTGATCCATCAATTGTTTCATCTCTTATAGTGATATGTAGTTATTAGGATGGAATGGTGTGTTTTACTCCATCTTTACCTGTTTAGTATCAACACAGGGGCACAACATTTCGCAACAGATGGCGACATTGCCATTAGCTAAAAGAGAAAGGAACTTACGTGAAGGCATTGTAAAGGGAAGGACACTTTTTGGAGTTATATTTGGTTTTTCAAAATTTTCTCGCTGGGCTTGGAACTTTTTCAAGTCTCGTGATCAGAGGCGCTAGCTATGTAAGCAACCAAGAGCAATGCATTAGACTTTGTGTAGGATTGTTGTTACTATCTATGTTACATATAGCTCATAAATTGAAGTAGGTTTGCTAGATATTTTTTTTCTGTGTTTCTTGCATGTTTGTAGATCATAGTATGCTTCCATGCCAAAAAAAAAGGAGAAAAAGATATTTCGGTTATGCTTTTTAGTTTTTTCAAGTGAATATTGATATGAATTTACTCTTTATGTCTGGCTCATATTAAATACCTTTAGGTAGATTTATTGGCTTTTGTTTGAATGCTTCATATTTTAAGAATACTTTTGAAGTTATATTTTGCTAGAGTAATGTCCGACTAATATTATAGCTTCATTGTGTATTCATAGTAACTGATGGTTCCTTGCTTGTATGGCACATGTGATTGTGTGAACATTCTTTTTCTTCATGTCTTCTTCTTGTAGTGTTAAGCTGTTTTTAAATGTCATTCCTATGTTGCTAAAGTGTGTTTTTCACATCCCCAGATGGTGAAGGAAATATAGATATTTTCTTTCATAGTTATGTACGCAGACTTACATATCATATGAATTTTATGTATGTTACAGTTTGGAATTAGGGAGTTATGCTTTCTAGGAAGTTTAAGTACTCTATATGTAACAAGAATCCTTCCATAGGGTCACCGTACCTGTTCTTATGCTGGATGCTTGGTTACTAGTGATCTGTAAGGCCGCCATTTCATACCTCATTGCTATGCCTATTTTAAAGTTCAAGAATGTACTGGTAGACTAGTATTTACACATCCCTCCCACAGGATGACTAGCAGGATTATACTCTATAACTATCAACAACAACAACACCAACAACATCAAGCCTTTATCCCACTATGTGGGTTCGGTTTCATGAATTTGTTTTCTCCTTTGTGTTCTATTAAGAGTCAAATTCTCATTTAAATTTAATAAAGAAAGGTTATTTCTATTTTTTTTTTTTATTTTTAATAGTTTGATAAATGCTCCTTTTAAAGAAAGGTTATTTCTAATATATTCTAACAAAGCCTTTTTAGGTCTACCTCTATCTTTCTTAACATAAGTCAATTTGAATACATATACTCTCCTAACCAGATCATCATAAAGCCGCTGTTTTTTATGACCAAACTATCTAAGGCAACTCTCTCTAATCTCATTTGCCACTGGAGCTACTCCAACTTTTTCACATATATATTTGTTTCGTATCCTGCTCTAAGTGTAAAGTCACTCATCTGCCTGAGTATCCTCATCTATGCAATAACTCTATAAATTGTCAACAAAGAAAAAAATATTCTCTAGGAACTATAATTATGGTTTGGTGTTCAAGCTGGCATAAATGTTGTCCAACTAAGATTGTTGTTGTGTATGTCTATTTATTATATATTTCTGATATCTCAAAGTAATTGGAATTAGATGGGATTGATTTAAGTTTTATTTTCTAATTTCTTTATTATATTAAAAGACCAAAGACGTTTCTTTTAAAACGTTTGTGAAGGTGGGAATTGGTATTTAAATTCTCATTATGCCCTCTTTTATACAAACTTTATGTTGCCTTACAATAATTCATGAAAAAGCTACGTCTAATATTCCATTCCATTTTTTCATTCTAAATCTTCTATTTCCTTTTATCAGGAGAGGTTTTAGGTGGGAGTAATCTTAGTGGGTTTTATGATGGCTAGTAATAGATGCTTAAAAATAAGGAATGCGTACTTCAGATTGTATAGAAACATAGGAACAAATTCAACTATTCTCATAATAGTTTGTCAGTTATGCTTTAGAAATGAATAGGTGTTTGTGCATATTTTGATAGTCTAATGATCTGTTAGGATGTTTGGTTTAAGTTATATCTTGATGCTGGATTCTTTCTAATGGGCACTTAATTTCTTTAAACTTTTTAAGAAAGTGGCGTTTACCCTACAAAAGAAATTTTGGATTCTTAGAGTTTTAGTGATTTTCTTCATTTTCTTAGGGAATTCTTGTTCCTATAAAGGGCATCATGCGCACTTTTCCTCTTTATCCTTTAGCTCATTAATTCTTACCTCTTAATGAAAACTTCATTATGGTCGTCATGCTCCATGATTAAAGACATCTAAAACAAGTTTCCATCATGTCACACTTTTAGCTTACATTCATTTTATCTAGCTATTTGATAGGACGTGGATGCACGTTTCACAAAAATTAGTGGATGAAACACGAAAAATTGGGAAAAATGCCCAAAATAAATTTTATTGAAAGAATTATAAAGAGAAATGCAAGATTCAATTGGATCTTCAATTGGAGAGGAAGATTTGGCTCTCTTAAATCTCTAGTTGCTGCCTGGAGCCCAAATAACCTAAGAATAAACTAAATTTAACAAACACCAAAACATAATTATGAAACCGCCCTATTATTAGCCTTAAATAAGCTCCCATAATTACCTCATAAATTAGCCCCCTTTCCTTGAATAATTCCTTCTCAAATTAGATTTATTTCCTTAATTAATTCCCTCTCAATTGTAATTAAAACTTTCCTAAACAATCTCCCCTTAATTCCTCTTTCTTTTCTCCAAATAATTCCCTCTTAGATTTTAAATTCAAATTAAATTTTTTGCTCTAAATAATTCATTCTCAAATATAATTAAAACATTTCTAAACAATTCCCCTTTGATTAAGAACCTTCTTAAACAACTCCCTCTTGATTATAAAACTTCATAATTCCCTCACAATCAAATCTGCCGGTCCATCAATACTCCCCTTCCAAAGTGCCACCTTGTCCTTAAGGTGGAACGAAGAAAACTGTTGTTGAAGCACTTGACTAATACCATTAGACTGAAAAAAGGATCGACTCTGGGTCAAATGTTCCCTAGCTCTAACATCTCCCTATCAATCTCTCAATCTAGTCATTCTAGATTTGAGGATAACGATACAAACAAACACTGATAGTTGAGACAACTTCTTTCAAGATGATAGCATGTTCATATTCCCGCAAAGGAGGCAACCCTTGAACTGGCTAAAACACCTCTTGATATTGCTGTAGGAGTGGTTGAACCATGGATGGTGCTTCTATCTTCTCTCCATCTTCTTCGCCTTCCAACAAGAAGTCACATGGGTGTACAAATTAGGAGTATAAGAAAGCTTTTTTTCCTTAAACACAAGCACATACATTCTCTCTCTAAAAGAGAAACCTCAAATCTCAGAAGCTAAACAGAACAAGAAATCAGACGAGAGATATAAGAGATAAACATACATCATATAATATCAAAATTCTCCACTTGAATGCTCCTTAAATGAGTACCATCAAGACTCATGCATATATATTGAATTACCGCATTATTTCTTTTTATAAGGATCCCTTTGTGTGTAGAAAACACTCAAGTTAAATAGAATTGTTTATACAAAGAATGCCCTTCTGTTTTTTCTCCTATCCTCTTGCATTTGCTCGGTTTTGCTGGATGCTTAATTTGTTCTATTATATACTACTTAATCATGTTATGGAATCATTGGATCAGTTAGACTCTGATTCAAATTTCCATATTTCTTATGACCACATTGCTGGATGAACAGTAAGTGAGAAGGTTTGTGATTTTTTAATAATATTATACATAATTAGTATTGTTTATGTAGTGTATGAATGTAACTGAATTGAGCCAACTCGTTATTTAGCTCGAGCTCAACTTATTTGTTACCTTGAGAGCTAGCAATGAGCTCGAGTTTGAGCTCAACCTAATGAATTGAGTTGGTGCCTTAATTAACACCTAAGTACACCTTTAGTGTTCATCCATGGCGATTAATGTTTAATCATGCTGATCTGTTAACTGAGCTTATGCTCTCGAGTCAAGTTTAAGCTTATAATGAGTTTAATCGAGTCAATTTCAAGTTTGAATTTGAGCCACATCGTAATACATCAAGTTGAGCTCTTGTCAACATAGACTTGTCAAGATTACATAATAAAAATTGCAATTAATTTTGACCCACTAGATTGATTCATGGGGAATAAGTAAAATTTATTTTGATTTTTTATTTAGTTATTGTGAAACTGAGTTAATATTTTTTATGGCTCAATAATTTTTATTTTTATTTAGAGATAAATAGAAAATTGTAAAAGAAATGCATATTTATTTATATTTCCTAAATGTAAGTACATTGCATTCTCCATACAAAAAAAACATAGAAAATGAAGGCCTTATTTGAATGAGAGATTACTATATGCGGAGATCAGACACGTAACCGTTCGGTTGTCTCTGCGAACACAAAAAAACACAATAAAAGTGTAGTGTTGAACGATAAAGGTGTAGTTATAAATAATAACTGTGTTTTTACTATTTACAGATATAACCGTATCCGCCTCCGCACATAATAATCTCTCTATTCGAAGCCACTGTTATGAGACACCTTCATGAACAATCCTAAATTCCAAGGACAAACTTGCGAGCTCAAATCCATCCCTAATTAAATCATAAATAATAATAATAAGGTATTACATACATAGCAACTAAAAGTATTCTGTTAGCTTATTTAACATTTAAATTTTATTAGTTACTAAACTTATAATTGTCATTATTTTTTGCTACTCATTCTCACATTTCAAAATTCAAAAATACTTGACAATGAAGAAGTAATATAGATGCTTCAATGAGATCTTGCTAGTAAGGACATCGACAAAACCGACAGAGAGGTTGACTTTCACTATAAGGAATGTCTAAGAAGGACGAATGTTATCTTGTTAGAAAGGTCATCGGCATGAGAGATTATTCTGAGCGGACGCCTGAAGGCAGTTCATCGTTTGGAGATCAACTAGAATGCGACACGTCAGTAGTATTGAGCTGTGGCACCAAGTAGTATCAAGCCGGGCACCGAGCAAAGAATGACACGGCACATTCTGGTTGGTCTCCGGACCAGAATAATTTCATCATCGACAGGAGTGTGAAGAAGCTTTTTGATAGAAATTAATTGGAGAGTGAGAAAGATAATATTTTTAATATTATTTAAAGTTTTAAATATTATGAAAGTAAATAATAAATTTTGAGTATTAAATGTATAAATAAAATAAATTTAAAATATCATGTATATAAATCCCCTAATAAAAGAAAATTCAATTAAAAAAAAAATCTTAAATCCGAACAAAGAAAATGCTGAGCTCTGGCCCATTAGTATCCTCTGGGCTCAGCAAATACAGAGTCTCGGAATCCTTACTTGCCATCACATATTCAAAACAGGCTCTCAGATACGCCACCTCCCCTTTATCTCTCCCATTCCCATCCGGAAGAACTCCGGCGCCCATCGACACCGCCCTCAGAAGCTCCATCAACGCCAGATCTTCCTTCGTAGCCTCTCTCCTCACCGCATATCCACACTTCCTCCCATTATAAAACACTCCCCACATCCCTTCTTCCATCACCCTCCTCCCGGCCGCCGCCCTGCCGGCGCGCTCGCATTCCAGCGCAATTCTGACCATCCCGGTTCCCATCTCCCGCATAAGGACCTGCGTCTGCACGGCCATTTCGAGCACGACCCAAGGGAGGCAGCGCGGGCTCTCTTGGATGGAGAGGCTGACGCGGCCGCGGAGATTGCCGAAGAGCGTGCCGGTGACGCGAGCGGGAGAAGCGTTCACGGTGTCGTGGGAGTGGGGTAGGCCGCAGCGGGGGGTGTTGAAGATAGGGAGGGTGCGGCAGATGGAGCGGAAGAGGCGGAGGGGGTTGTGGCGGCCGGCGTGGCGTGGGCGGCGAGAGGGTTGGAGGAGACTGGGGGTGCGGGGGATGATGGGGCGGGATGGGTTTTCGAGGTCGTCCACGGCGGAGGAGGAAGAGGAGGCGGCCATTGGAAGGAGGAGGATGGGAGGAGAGGGATTTGAGGAAGGGGAAGGTGAGTGGAGGCTATTTTAGGAGATCGGGTGGTGCAGGCAAGTTGGAACAACAGATTTCGGCTCTAAATTTAAATATTTATAAAAAAAAATTCGAAAAATTACAGTGCTTTAGATTTTATACAAAAATTTTCAATTATATGCATACTGAGATTCACTATTGAAAAAAAAAAAAAAATCAAAATTTTTTGTGGATATCTCAAATTCAATGCTTAATATTATATAAATACTCAAATGCATTATTTAAGCACTTTGTTTTTAATTTATTTTATTTATTTATATTAGATGATATTAGATTAATAAGTCCTAATATATTATATAAACGGTTACAGTAGTTCTCATAACCAACCACAAAGCGTTGGTTAGTGGGCTCAGTTTGTATTGGTTTAAACGGCCCATCGACCCCTCTACCCTAAAATATGTGATAGGCCCAGTCAGAGTTCTTATAACCAACTATGATTTTTAGAAAAGAAAAATCGAAATTCAGAGAAGCATAATAATAAAAAAAATATTTTCTCTTTGCATCCGTCAGTTATCATTTTCTCTCTCCACCTATTTTTCATTGTAAGATCATCTCCAAGACTCCAACCGAATTATATACCACCCTGTCTACCATTTGTTGCATTTTAAACTCTAAATCTGACATCAAAATTCGGTAAGTGAACAACCTAAGCCAAAAAATTAGGCTGCAGAATTTGCCGAAAAAGAGCGTGAAAGAGTAGAAAAACACGTGAAAGGTGAGAGAGATTGTTACATTCGAGCGTGAGAAAGAAGAAAAAAATGGAGTTTGATTGAAAATGAATTACGACTTTTAGAAGCTTTACTACATTTTAGAGTGGAAAATGGTTTTTCGGTTGGAAATGCCCTAATAAAGATATAAATTGTAGATAGATTTGAGAATTCAAACTCATTGACAAATTCAGAATTCATAAGGAATACAAATTAAAATCAATACAGTTATTGAAAAAACTGTAACGATTAGAAATAAACTGTACTGATAAATATCCGTATTTTGAAGGAAAAGTTCAAACAAAAAGTAAAAATTTCTCCGTAAACGGAGAAATAAAACCGTTGATCCATTGGGTAAAATTATGAGAAACCATATAATAAACTAAAATATATGAAAAATAAATTCGGAAAGTATTTTAAGTCAATATTTGACAAATATTTAATAACCATAAGTCTACAAAGTCGTAAAATGCCTTAATAATACAAGCTTTTGTCTTTGCTATAAAATCGTGGAACAATATAGTGTAACATCAATCTTGAGACAACAAAAATTTAACCAACCAAAGCTCTTATTGTTTTTCCTCAATTTTCTATTAAATGCTTAAAGCTTATTTTTTATTTGCAATGAATGTTTTAAAATATCATTTATCTTCGGCTTCATTTGGAACAGCTTTTCAACTACTATATAAATCAACTTTTTAGTATAAAAATTTTTTGATTTAAAAATTTTAATACAAAAAATTATTTAAAAACACAATATAAAAGCTATCTCAAACAAAATCTTATCTATTTGAGACAACTAAAATAAATTTATTCTAAAACAAGAATGTATGTGTGTATAAATACATAAATATAATAAATTTGACCTATAAAAAAATGCTTTAGTTTTGCACTTGTTAAGCATTAGTTCATCATGTTATATTTACCTTCATTTTAATTTTTTTTTTAATTTGATTTTATTTAAAAAATGGATAGTAAATTATTAAGGTGTTTAGAAATATCCCAAATCTCTTATTTGTTTTGTATTTAAAAATATATCGAATGAGCCTAAAATAAAACCATGTCGGATTGTATATGTGTGTATATACACAAGGGGCAGCCCACAGCACAAAACTAAAAATAAGATCATAGTTGGAAAATTTTATGTGCAGACACTGAAATTTTATTTGGTCCGGTAACCTGACGTAGCTCTACATTCGATGAGCAGTAAACAGGCGCCACGTGTTCTCACTATTTACCGTGAGGCCCGACAACCCGACCCGGAACGGACCCGGGAGTTTGCGTATTGCTCGGTATTGCTAGGTATTGATCGATTTTGCTCGACAAAAATGAAAAATATCATTATGTGAAGACCAATACCGAGCAATACCGAGTTCTTTTAGGTATTACTCAGTATTGCTCGATATTGATCTTCACAGAGCGGTATTTCTCGTTATTGCCAAGCAATACCGAGTAATACCTAGCAATACCGAGCAATACGCGAACATAATAATCCCAGATTCCGGTGCGAGACGGGTCGTCAGGCCGCGTGTTAAAGAGTAAGAGCACGTGGCAACATATTATTGACTACCGGACGTAGAGCTACATCAGATCACCTAACCTAATAATTTTTCGCAGAAACCGAACGGCTTCCGAATATCAATCAAAATGTGTCATATCATTTTTTGCTCGGTACCGCTGTGCACCGGATGACATAACACGTTCTAATTGATAATCGAACTGTCCTATGTCCGCATAGAATAATTTCTCCATAGTTGAGATGATATAGATGTTACAACTTTTGACATGCGTCGCACAAGAAGGAAGTCTTTGCCTTTATTTTTCATAATAAATATAATACTGTGTGCATTAATTCTCACCTGTTTATGAGTTTTTAGACAATAAAATTTTGTGTTTGCATTCAGTATGTATACACTAATTCAAAGATGTGTTTGACCATACAATACTAACATACTAACAAAAATTATAGAATAAAAAAATAATAATAATCAAACGTCGTGATAATCACATGACAATGGCTAAAAAGAATCGCCATTGTCTAGAATCAATGAACGATGCGGCACTAGAAAACTACGAAGATTTCAGAAGTAGTGACAAATGACAATCCTACCACAGCAAAAAAAAATACTTTACTGTGCAAGCTTCCTCCACAAGCCTTTGGGTTGCAAGAGGCACTTTACTCTTCCAAATATGAATCCAGTCTTCGGGGGGTTGCCATCTACGAGAGAATTTTCATATATCTCTTTGCACTCTTGGACCACCTGATCAAGAACAAAAGCAAATAAAATGCTCCATATACATAATCTCCTTAATGAGAGAAATTATTAGGTGCGGGGAGTCCGGACGTAGAGATACATCCGGACTGCAATAAAATATTGACACGTAGATTAGACATGTGTATATTCAATTGAATTTATTTTTTACTTTATATATTTAATGTGTCCGCAGAACTTTAAGTCAGGTGCACCAAAAGTGCAGGTAAATCGCAGTCAGTCAAAGCGTAATTAAAGTCCAACTAAAGCGCACTCCACGTGTCACATTTTAAGTGGATGTCCGGACATATCTCTACCTAATAATTTCTCCCTTAATGACAAGTTTCCTATTTCGGTTGGGCATAGCTGCGAATGAATGTATAAGACCCTCCGATGTTTAGTATTTTCCAAGCAGTTCCCAGTTTGGACTTGGGAAGTAATCCTATGTTTTAAAGACGCTGGCTTCGCTGACAGAATGGAGATGTCTTTTAAGTACTGGGGTTGGTCAGTTGAATAGCATATGCCAACCTGAATGATCGTTGAATTGAATTCTACCAGTCTAATTTGAAAAGTCCTAATGGGATCAATATATGCAACCAAAACACTAAAGTTTCGTTTGGTACGGCTTTCTTTCTGCTTCTTAAAGCAGCTTTATAGTACAAATATTAAATTTTTTACTAGAAAACAGCTTTCCGAAACAATAAAAAAGCCGTCCCAAACGAACTCTAAGTGTCGCCCTTGTGAAAAATCTGAAAGTTTAGCTAATGTCAACTCATGTGAATTATTAGTCCTTACCTCCTTAGCATCCTTGCGTGGTATGCCCTCTCTGAGTGCCACTAGTTTCTCAACAACCTCAGGCTGCATAGAGGGAAAGAATATTTCGATTTACTATGAGCACACAACATCAGTTTACAAACAATGGACGGCAAGAAACAACATTGTAAAGCTGGAATTCATTTTGAAGAAACAAATTACCGGGCAATCTGGTTGATGCTCAAGGATATTTGTATAGATGAGCGTGAAGCTGTCAAGGCTTTCAGCGGATGCAAGCTCCCTAAGATCACCCAGTATCTTCACTCTAGTTTCAACTTTCTACATGGCAGCTCATAAAATTCAAATTAAAATTATGAATTATGCAGAATAATGTTTTTGCAGGGAATTAAAAAGTTTTAAGTTTGTAAAGTGACTTCAAGATTATAGACCATCACAAATCGAAAATGTAATTTTGATTTGTTGAGAACCAAAACTGAAAATAAAGTCAATAAGAATTAGCACAATTCATTAGTTAATTTGCAGTTTTCTTATAGGGATAGAATCAGAAAATCTGAAATTGCACAATAAGAGGCATGTCACAATGCATTTTCATTTAGTAAGCCTCGAACACCTCGGGCAACCATATTGAGTATTTGTCATACATTAGCTGAGGCGCGCCTAGCCTCAGCTGTTAGGCATATGCATTCAGCTTTTTTTTTTTTTTTTGGAAACTTAAAATCACAATATTAAATACTTGAACACCTAAACCGGCTAAATGCAGGCATGATACTGCTCTAGACCGTGACCCTACTGTTAGTTTAATCTTTGAAAGTTTGATACTGAAGAATATGCTAATTTTGTGATAAACATAGTTAATGTTTAACTTGAACTTGATATATTAAGTTATTTTTAATTTACTGTTATATCTTATATTACTTTTTCATGTTGATGTTTACAGTGCAATTCCATTTCACACAATTTCTTGTTACTTCACGTTTTGCACAATTTATTACTCCATATGTACGTCAATTTATTACTTCTTAGTATATTAGAATGTTAATGTCTTTTTATAATATATAATTTAGTTATAATGCTAATAATTCACTATTAACCTTCATTTTAACTCTATGTAATTTTTGGATTATGACACTTACATTTCAAAATACCTTGAGGCTTACACCAGGATAGAAAACCTTATTCTACATTGAATCAGTAGGTACAAGCTCAGATCCTGGAAGGTTTCCAGAACAAAATTAAGACAATATACTAGGTTGGAGTGTGAAGCGCATGCAGGGGTCAGAGTGAACCAACCTAATAACTAGATTAAATACATAGATAAAACCAATATATATCATTCACCTTATAATATGTATGGCTAAAGCAGATATGTTGAAGAACATATGCATATACCAACATCCAAGAGTCAAAAACATAACTAGTGAAAAAACTAATAACTATGATTGATACTCACTGTAACACTGATGTACTCCCTGAAGAAATCCATCAAAACCTCCTCATCAAGCCTCATCCGCTCAATCGTTTCTTCTTTAATATAGGTTTTCTGCAAGCAAGGGCTCTCAATATCTTTATAACAGCCATATCCATGCATTAAATCCATACAAGACGTCAACAATGGAGTTTAGCTTTAGGAAGATGGTGCCAACCTGGGTAAGGAGATGATCAGTATAAACCACGATAGTTTCCTCCAGGCAAGCTTCAACGAACCTTCTGAAAGATCTTTCCTCAATGTAACTTTAAAATCAAGGCAGAATGACATCAAATAAGGTAACCATACCACAGCATGACCAAAATATAGCAAGAAGTTCAAGTAGCAATTTGCATTGTAAATAAATTCTCTAACAGTGAGACTGCCTCAACACACGAACATATTCCTTTTTATATGAAAAATTAAAAGATCAAACAAACGAGTACAGTTTACAAGAGAACTATATTTGCTCAAACAAATGAGTACAGTTTACAAGAGAACTATATTTGCTCAAATTATTAGAAAGGTGCATAAGAAACCACACATTTTTTACAATTAATTTTCAATCAACAATGCTTTGGCCTGATATGCTGACAATGGCTTGGATAGGGGTGAGGTAATTAGGAGTGCCAATTGCAATGCCAACAAGACCGAAGTTTCATAATCATTATCAACCTTATTCTTTCCATTTGATCTAGAGCGCCTATAAATACCTCCAAACTAGTCATTCACGTTAAGAGCTAAATTTAATTCTAGTCAAGATAAATCCTTCTAGAAACTTCGATCGGACAAGCATTAGCCTTAATATTCTCCTGCTTATCCCTTCATGTTATGTCTAGCAACTAACTGATTAGTGCGGATGCTGCTTCTTTATCTATGCTGTACATTCCTTAACCCTAAGTCGGTTTTCTAACAAGCCGAGTAAATTTGAGCCCGCACTTGTGCGATACTTTATTCCAAATGTTAACCCCAACTATTGGTGCAAATAATTTCTTACAAATTTTCAATATATTTTGAACACTAACTTATTTTTGTTCCCCAAAATTGATCCGCAAGAATTTTTAATTTCTTTTTTTGGCACCCATAGACTCAGATTTCAGCCATAGAAATTTATTGAAATTAAATTTAAGCACAAATGATGAAACTTCAATGTAACTTAACAACCATAAAAAAGTGAATTAGGAACATGGTAAAGGTAAAGTGCATATTTATAATTAGACGCACAATAAACCACCAAACCTAATCAACCAACAGCACACATCGCTACAAAAAGAGAAACAAATAACACTAGCAAAGGAAAAAAATATTGTTTTCATGAAAATTTATCAGAAAAATGAGAAGAAACTGAGCATGTAAAGGCACGGTTTAAGGGCGTAAGCTAGATATAAAATAGTAAATATCAATTCATAAGCTGAATGAAAACCCGCATACCCTTTCTGTACACGTATGGATTACCTTGAAATAGTGCAGTGGGAAGAGCGTTAGGATTATCTAAAAATTATTCATAGGAGACGTTACGATGATGATCAACCAAGATGATAAATTACAACCCCGTATAAATAATTACCCAGTTGGCCATAATTAATAAGCTTATAAGGACTTAAAAGCCAAAGTTTATGGTAATTATGTTTTGCAAAAGCCTTCTCAAATTAGAATTTTTGCCTCAGCGGATCAATTTGTTAAACAGATTTTGAGAGAATACATTAATTTACAAATAACAATAAAAAGGCCTAGACCGAAAAGTAGAGTAGAAATTATTTCTTCAGCCTCAAAATTTTTACAATAAAACCGAATTTATTCTTTAATTTACCAACCTCATCATCATCATTAGTCTATCAAAATTATTTCAGTCTAGCTTTATGAATCCTCATTCTCCATTCATTTTTGTTAAGAGTTGCATAGAGTGTTAAAGCATATTCCCATTTTGTTTTTGTTTTTTTTTATCTGAGGTATTTGCACAGTATCTATCCTTGACACCACTTCTAGTATTCCCCTTTTCCTTCTTAATTCTTAAAAATAAAATAAAAAAGTGTTTTAGTTGAATCTGTTAACTGCAATGTTAGCACGTCTTTAGAAAGCAAGAGATCAATTAAACACCTCAACAATGAAAGTGCACAGCAATTTTAGGCCAAATTGCGTTTGGCATTTAGTATCCTTTAGCTTTGATGCTTTTTAAGGAAAAGGCTTACATTTTAACGTCAGTAAAATAATCACCAAAGGTCGCAACTAGATACTCCGTGACCATTCCCTCCAGCCAATCTGAGAATGTAAAAAATTCAGCCACAAGAGTTAAATACAAGTGACTATATTCGCATAATTTACCCTCATGGGAAATATTAATCAATGAAGCCATCATTAGACGCAAATAGCAAATAAAAAAAAAAATCAACAGCTATATTTAGAGCAAATCTATATATATTTAATACGCTTAGGACATGGTAAGCACTTGGCCATTCCAAATTTATCCTTCAACATCTTAATCATGCATTCTTATTTATTAATTACTTTTATATAATTAAATTGGAAAAAACATGTAAAATAAAAATTTAAACACTAAGTGACAATTAGCTGTTGAAGTTAGTGTCCTTCAGCTGAGCAACACTAAATTTGTTGTTGACTAGAGCATCCTTATGCGATGATTTTTGGGTCTCACATGATAAACTTTGATGATTTTTTAAGGTCTATTTAACAAGTATATTAAACAAAATGATGATAGATCTTATACTTTAGGGTAATTGAAGTCAAGTTGGCTATCCGTCAGTAATGATTAATTATGTTATGGATTGTGCTAGATGGCTATTAAAAGCTCTGTTAGTTGATCCCTTAGGGGGCATAATATATATTCTTCTAGTTATTTTCAATTTTAATTTCTATAAATTTCCTTTAAGTGTATAATTGGGGCATTGAAGTAATGCTCTCAAGAGGATTTATATATAAAAGGGATCCCAAGTCATATTATTAATAAATTACTAAAGGCTTAACTATCTAATTTTTGGAAATCAAATTGCATCAATTCCACCACCTACATATCTGCCCGACTCTTGCAATTCGGTGCACCACCTTTCTTATTCAAGTCACGCTGCACTTATTGATAAGTGGAACTATTGTTACCATCTCATCAATCAATGGACTATAGTAATTAATTCTGCATTTATTTTTCATTCCCTAATTACTTTATTCTTCCTAGTAGAAGCTCCAAAGATTTATGCGAATTCAGCACAAATGATGGAATTAAACATGCAGCAAATTCTCTCAAGTTCGTATAACTTCTTCATGCAATTATTTGTGCAATAATAGTTGGCTACTTTTTCAATATATCAGATATAATCAAGAGAACTTCAAGAGTCACTAATCATGGTCCTGAAAAGGTTCCAAAGAATACCTTTCTGGTATAGCTTGACAAGTAATTCCTGCACACCTGGGTCTTCAAATATAACATTAACAGTTTGGTGAACAGCTTCCTGCAGTTAAAAGTAAAATATTACCCTCTATCCTTATAAACACAAAGATTTCCAATGTCTATTTAAGATAGAATATTCCTTCAGGAACTTCTTTTTCATGAAAAAAATGAAATAATGAATAAACAAACAACGAAAAAACATGCATGCAACAAAATTACAGACAACATATATGTAATCAACATCGAGTTTCCAAATTTTACTGAATTTCGTTATGAACCAAAGGACAAGAATTGTCCAAAAGAATTTAAAAGGACCAATGTATAGTTGCAACATTCACACACACACAAAATAAAAAAAATAAAAAAAAATTCAAACCTTTGCAACCTCAAGGAAACCTTTGCAGGTATCTTCAAAATTAACCTGCAAATAGAAAAAGCAATAGTTACATCATCGAAGAAAGGTGATCAGAAATTCTAACTTCTAGTATTATCCTTCCAAAGAAACTTGTAGGCAATCAAATTGGAGTTCTATATCATAACGTGAAAAATATTTTAATTAAAATAATAATAATACTAATAATGATGATGATAAAAAACATAATCATAATTATTACGAAATAAATAAATATATAATCAAAATTATTATAGATAACTTTAGAAATGTTTGTGTAAATGAATCTGAAGATGTGAACTCTAGATTGACTGACGTGGAAGGTGAATTTAAAGGCATGTTGCGAGAAAATATTTGCAGAATATTAATTAAATTTCCAAACAAAAGATTATACTTCACCATGAACTTCTATCTACCCTTATTTCTACGCTGAAAGAAATTTGATGGTCGGAACAAAAGACTTAGAAACCCTTCAGGCATTTACTATCATTTTCAATAGCTTTACAACTGTTGCAAAGATGATGAGATCAGAATTGCCCAGAAGAAGAATTCTATTCAACTAAATTTCAATTCTAAACTACCCTACCAGAACGAAAAGTAAGATATCCTTTATATGCATCTACTATAATGTGGGCTCCGAAAACTCGGCCCCGGCCTCCCCGCCGCGCGATTTCTTTCTTTTTGTTTGAGCGAGGGGAAGTTTTAACAAAATAAGTTCCGGGGTAAATTTTGGAA